AAGGGGTTCCACACCTACATAATTTAACACCTAACCTTTAACTGCTCCAGTGCAAGTTCAATGGGTAAATGGAGTGATTTGTCACTAGCAATCAAGGACAGGCATTGCCATTACCCATAAGGAGAGCAGGTACACAGACATGTGCTTTGGCTATGCAACTATCCCATTGACGTAGACATCCCGAAGTAACCACCTGCCAATATTTTTTGATCCTGTCAGCCAAGAACAACTTTACGTGTACAAATTGGTCTCCAACAGCATTTCCCACTTTTTTAGTTAGAACAAAGTCTTCCTTTTTATTTGAGACACAGGAATATAGGGCTAGAGAAATAACATCTTGGGCCATCAGATCTGATCATCTGCTGTCACACATAGCCACAGCGTCTAATCCCTTTCAAATATGATCAAGGTTCATTTAATGATATCTAGTTCCATTCCCCGTCCCTCGGTGTCGTGTCCCCCCCCTTATTTCTGTTGGAATATTGTTATTGTTCTAGGAATTCAAGGTGTATATGGCTGGAAACTTTATAACTTCCACTTTAAGCTTAATTATGACCAGTTCAGAGACATTTGTTCTCCTGGCAGCATTGTCCTTCAGTCTAAGTAGCTCTTCTGTTGTGTTCTCATGTGTCAGCTGGAGACGTGTACAGCATTAGAGGAAGAAGTGAGGCAGTTACATGTTCAGGTGCAATGTCCGTATCCCTACTTTGCTTTAAATGCTTTATGAAGTAAAAAAGCAACTAATTTTGTGTCATTAAAATGTAAATTATGCAAATAAATGTGCTGTTTTCACAGATACTTCTCTTTCATTGCATAAGCAGGCAAGGGTTTTTGGATGTGCCAACTCATCCTGTCAGCTACTTGTTGCCGAACGGAGGGGCTAGTAATCACCCCCAGAACAGCTGCACAAATAGAGAGCAATCTAATAGCTTGAATTTTCTCTGTTTCGTGGTGCCCTAACAGCACAGTACTGCTCTCTAGCAGACACTTTGCCTTCATCCATAATAACATTTAACAATTAAATCTACATCAAGAGTTGAAACCAAGAAGAACTAATTGTCTATATATCTGTAACATTTCTTGCAGATAAACAAAGACAGAAAAACAGATGTTTTGAAAGACTCGAGGAAGTTCTTCCTAGGTATTTCATTGTTCTTTGAACGGGAATAGCAAAAATGGGGGGAGAAATGTAATTTGTGAATTTGCAGAAATCTCCTCCCTAGGATTCCAAGTGGCTTTCTTGCCAAATTATGCAACACCTTCTAAAACCTTTGCATATTTTAAAAATACGAAATAATCTGCTTTGTAACTCTTTCTGGCTAAATGCACTGGCACTATGTTTCAGAACACAGCTCTACAATGTTATCAGGCAATTGGGAGTGTTTTCTGGAGCAGCAGGTAAAAAAAAGGAGTTACAGCCCCTTTACCTTCCTGACCAATATATTCTAGGTTCGATGCCATGGATCAATATTACAGTTGAGTTATATCACCCTCTGCATCAAGCTCATATGGCTGAGATGTACTGAAAATATTAAAAGGAGTGGGAGGCAATTAATGCAGAAAAAATCCTCAAACCTTAAATAAAAACACTCCACTTTCTATCACTTTGCTATAATAAACATTTGGCAGATGCTAATATTCTGAGCTGGCTGGCAGCCTGAAATGAGTTTGTGGGAATCAGGTAGCTCAAATGGGTGGCTCAGAGAGAATGCGAAGCCTCCTGTGAGGTTATTTAACATTTTCCTGATGTCCCAGGTGTCCACAATGGGCCAGGGAAGTACCATCCTTGCCCCTGGAACATAAAATCAGTGCAGCAGTGTATATAATGCAAAATCCATGTGTCATACAGAATATGACTGCCAGGAACAGGATTCTCAGTATCATCACACAGCGCTGCCGCTCTTTCCAAGTGCATAGCCTGATACAAAATCCAATCCATGCAGAGATCATTCGAGGGCTGGGAGACGATGAGTCACAGGCATCTGGAGGGTGACGTTATGTGGGTTCTGATTTTAACTCTCTTTTTTTTTTTCAGCATACAAAATATACACAACTTAAGCTAATTGTATTGAACACTGCTATAACAAACTCCTCTTGTTGACTCCTTTCTGCAGAGGGCTTTAAAATAAAAGTTATAGCTATTTAACTGTTTTGCAGCTCGAAGAGTGCAACTGAGACTGATCTTGACTAAAGTGTAGTCGTTTGCTGAATATAACTTTGCTGTAACTGCTGACTTCTCAAAATACACGCACCTTTAAGAGCTGTTGTTACATCTCTAGTGGCAATAGCATATATTTGCAGTACTGAGTAGTGCTGGGTTCCCTCCCCAAGGTTCTAGCTCTCTTTGCAGTACCCAAAGGTTTAGACCAGTTATCCAGTTATAGAGCCTCAGGCTCTATATAGCATATATAGCATGCTATCTGAGATCAAAACAAATACCAAGGTAGTCATTTGAGCACACAGCGAATATCTAAAAATACATTTAGATTGCTAAACTTATATGATTCATAGGTGGGTACATCAACCATCAACAACTCTGGCTTTATTTTGTATAGCAACTCCCAGAGAATTAAATATAGATCTAGGAGTCTGCAAGCATGGTTGTCATAACCAATTATTATAAGGTAAACTATGATGGAAATCTACGTCATGCCTACCATCACCAGTAAATGCAGGATGGCTTATCTTTTGCTGAGAGAAGGACAAAGAGCCTCATGCTTACCACGACATGAGATAGTTCCCAGAGCTAAGCACTGCGGTGGGGCTCACACACGGGCCAGACCCTCACTGACCCTGCCATGACTTATCTGAGCACCTACAGCAAGTGTCTTGTTTAGTAAAATACGGACCATGAGATCTAGTCCCAGATGACTTTCCAAATTCTTTTCAGAAAGGGCAGGACTGGCCTTTGAGAGTAATTAACAGCATAAGCCAGTTGTGCCTCCTGCGTAGCATATTTCCATGTTTTCATTGCAGTATACAGGGAAGAGGAATACAACTGTCATCTAATACACACACCTTGCTTCTCACCCATTAATTACTGGGAGCAGTTCTTTCTGCAGAAAGCAGTTTATATTTATGTGACATTAACTTGTACTTGATTTTATTAAATTTGGAAATATGATAACTACATACACCACTACTTCTCAGACATCTTTGTAAAGTGCTTTAAAGATTTACAGCACCCTAAATGCTAATTGTTAAATATCATGATGCCAGGCTAAGTGCTATTGGTGCAGTGTGAAAATGGCAGCATTATAACATTCTCAATGTACTGAAACCAATCACTAAAATATTCCTGTTTGTTTCCCTATAGCACAACTAAAAGCGACTGGCAACACACAGATGCATCTAGCCCAGTATCTAGAGAATAAAGACAAGTTTGTCTAACTACTTCTGACTTCAGATTTCCATACTCTGGAGTTTTCTTCACTGTAAAGTACTATTCAAAATTATACGCCATGTTAGAGGGGCCAGGTAAGCCTCTATTACTGCTGTGCAATACAAATGAGAAACAATGAACTTTGCTTAGTACTCCATTGGAATACTGCTTACTCTGCTTCAGATTAATTTGCATTTAGGTGTGGGAATTTTACAAATGTGATATGGCAGCTCAAAGTATTGCTTTTCCCGCATGGATGAATGTCAGGAAAATTATCCATCTGCATTCAGAACAGCACCCAACTGCACTGTTGCCTCCAATAAGATGGTGTTTGATGTCATTCAAACAAACAGATGCATTCATTTCTTTCCCAGGATGAAAGAAGAAATATTTGTAAGTGACAGCATATTTATCACGCTGCTAGTGTTAGTTTCATCTTTGTATCCTATTATTTTTCTCAAACTGTTTAGGTATGTCAATTTGAAACCTTGCTCAATAAACATTTACGTTCCACGCTGCTTAATCCATCCAAATATTACTGGGGTCTTATCAAAGAATTTCCACGAGAATTAAATAAATGGAGGAAGTGCCATGTTATTACTTATTTATTTAGCATCCTAAAGAACACAGCTTCCTGAACCTGCATCAATAATCATTCCTTAATGAAAATGCAGGTCACAAACAGAATTCCCAGTCAGAAACAACTGCCTTCTAAACTAATCTTCCTTACAGATGAGTAAATTCACTAAACAAACTGTTAAACAAATACGATCATGTTTACTTTCCACAATATAAGAAAGGCAAAAGCTGAGAAACGTTCCCAGGCACAGATAAAACACAGAAATTACTTTTTTTAAAACAATTGTAAGAGCAATAATACAGTGTTTTGCATCTTTGACTACCTATATTAAGCAATTAACGGTAAGCTGAATGTCAAATAAATACTGCAGATTATTTGCTGCTGTTTATGCCTGTGCAATGCAATTCTGATTCTCTATATATGTCCCATTCCATTTGGTCATACCAAATCATGTTTTGTCAGTGCTTATTAATTCAGCCTAAATCCAGTCACATGACACACACTTCAGTGCACTTAGTATTAAAAAACACTTTCTGTAATCCCAGATATTTTTAAATGTGAATAGATACATCCAACTGCCCAGTGACTTGCATGTCAAGTTTATTGCATTTCAAGCGTGTTTTTACTTTAGGTGTTGAGCAGTCATTTAAAGTACTATTCCCCTTTACTTTTAAATTGCAACCCACAAACTACTGAAGAATTGATTTCCCCTCTTTGTAAGAGGAGTGACTTGAGCTAACGCCAATGGGAATTATTGAGGCATACCATTAAAGTATTAGACAGCCTTAAGTTTCCAACAAGACTAAGAAGTACTGCTGTGCCACTTACAGACTATTTTGTGAAAAGTAAATAGTTAGCAAAGGAACGTAGGCAAAATTTCCTTCTACCCCACTATGATTAAGTCTCATTTCAGTTGTACATGGGACAACAAAAAATTAAATATGTACGTTATGTTCTTTAAACCTAGTTACAACCAGAAAAACAAGGAGTGAGGGGAAAGAAGGGGATGAAGAGAAAAAAAAATGTTATCTAGTTTACCTGATACTGTACAACACTTTTCCAGTTTTAGAAATCCTCAGCAACTTGTTGTCTGTTGTGACATCATGGAAGTTTGCTCCCTTCTCATTGGCAAAGAATAAATCTGGCTTCCAAATAGAGTCCAACATAGAGGGATCCAAATCCAGGGAATCATCAGGATATTCGCTGTAAGCCAGACGTGAGTCGTTCCACTGCTGTCTCAAAAAAATGTTCACTCTGTAGTCCTACAGAAATGCCATGTAAAAAGGTTACTAAGCCACTTATCAAAACTGGAAGCTCACTTTAGCTTTCTTTATGCTCTTAGACTTACTACAGTACCAGTGTTACAGCAAACATTTATGTTATCCTTTGAACATAAGAGTTGTCATTTGAAAATAAAGCAGTCTAAATGCTGCATTGAACCAAACACACACAACTGGTACATTTTCCAAATCAAAATTACTTCAGTGATGAAAAAAATATTAACTGCAACCTTCAGTATTAAATATAACTCTCTTTCAAATGCCATGTATTAACTCAGAGGTACTTAGAAAGTCAAAAAGCATTGCAGTTAGATATATACAATTTCAACAAAGATTCTATAAAACTACTAATTTAAATAAATTGCTTCCTATATGTAAATCAATTATTTCTAATGTACTCATGAATAGTTGCTAATTCCAGTGAAGCCAGATTTGTATAGAAGAAATTAAATCAGCACTTCTTATTTACTGTTTATATCTTTTTTTTATCTACCGTATGCTTTTCTCTGTATGTTCCTTCATTCACTCCTCCCTCTCTGCATCCCATTAAAATTGTTCTAATTGCATTCTTCTGCTCAGTGGTCTGCTAGTCACAACTGGGAAAGGCAGCAATTATTTAGAGGTTCATTTAGAACCAACATTAACGCTGTGTCAAGAACTGGCTGTTAAAGGGGAGTGTGAAAAGAGCTTTTAGGGTCTAAATTCTCTGGAGGGAAGGGAAAGATGCTAATGCTTATTCTCCTTACCCTGAATTTCTGAAGTCAGCAAATAAGAGCTTCATCTCCCCCAGCTTTCCCTGCTAGTATAACATATTTACCTGAAATTACTGCATTTAATTTGCTTGTGAACATTGTCTCAGAAATACATCTAATCTTCCTCTAAAAGGAAAATATTTAATAATATTGATATTAATAATATCAATTATATTATCTGAAGGAATATGTTAGCAAACAATTCTTTCAACTGTACAAACCCCTCACATTTAGGATTTGCTTCATGGTAGCAGCAGTACTTTAAAATGGCAGCACTGTGCTTTCGACTTGGCAAATATACATTGACCTGTGTTTAGTTAGGCCACTGAACTGGATAGTCTAAAGAACTTATCATCCTTGAAATGTAAATAAATATTCTCAGTCCAATTAGAGCTGCAGAAAGCAGCTTGCCCAATATGCAGACTCTGTGAACGAGCCCCTCCAACCTTCAGCGTTTCCCACCCTTCATTCAGTAGGTTGGTGACAAGGTGTGCTGCTGCCCTGACAGAGTACTTCTGACATCCAAACGGATGCAGTTTTTGAACCCTATGGGATGATGCTCTACAATCTCACTAGGAACGTGATTTTTCTTGCTTTCTTCATCATTTTCATTTTGCTGTGGTGTAGTTGCAAGTCAAAACAGGAATGTCTACTAATCAGAGCAAGACAGACTTGAGAGAGGCCTCAAGAATAGCACATTTATTAACGATACTTACAAAAGCCTGTATCTTTTTTTCACAAACCACTGTACTTTTATGATGGTGGTGTTTCATACAGTTAAAGATCAAATAGCTACTTGCAGTTCTGAGCTTATGAAATGTCACCACATGTTGTGAGGATACACTAATGCTAAGCATACTTTCCCTTGTTTCTTGGTCTTGAAGCTGAGAGTGTCTTGTAAGTCTATATGGGACTGTTTTAGTTATAAAGGCAGGAAAGCACTTTATTTTCACTCTGCAGAAAAGAAGGCAGGAGCTGTCATCAGCAACCTCTGATAGAATAAAATTGCTACTAGTTGTGCAACCGCCTCTAATTTTTCTTTGAAATAAGATATACAATGAAGTCTATGGAAAGCAGAAGGATTTCTCCCCCCATGACATAGAAATTGTAAATCAGTCAAATCAGTAAATTTTTTTGAAATATCTAAAAATAAATGTGCTTTCATAAACTTCAGTAGTTGGTGATTCAGATAACAAAAAGCAGTCTGAAAAATCCTTATTCATAGAAGAGCTTTCATATGATGATATATATTATACCAAAAGCATAAACAATACCAATAGGATTACACTATCTTTTTCAGTATGTACCTTCATAAATATATCAGAGCCATCTCCCTGATACACTTAGAAATGCTTTCCCTCTGCAAGCTTTGTTGTTAGAAGCAATACAGCACTGAAACCTTGGTTTATGTCTGACCGGCTTTGCATATATATATGTGCATAGATATTTTATTAAGAAATAAAAATGGAAATATAACATGCACATCACAAAACCATCTTTTTTTTTTTTCTGCTATGCTTGCGGTATAAGCAGCTGAGAGGGATGTGTGTTTACACAGTCAGACCTAATCATGTGCAGAATTTTGAATTTACTTTTCCTGTGCTAACATTGTAACTATCTGCAGAAGAAAAATTTTCTTGAGAACGGTATCACAACATGGAGCTCAGGCAGACTACAGCGTGTATCTTGCAAGTTCCTGAGGGTAGAAGTGGGTGGACTGTAGTAAAGCACTCCTACACAACCACGAGTACACCTGCTCCACAAATTCTTTCTGACAGCACCACTGCTCTGAATGAGGAGTGTGGACCTGAAGATTCAGTCTCAGTTGTAACACCGATGCCAGCAATAGCTCAAGGCAACTCAGATAAACAGTTTTCCTCTGTTCTCAAGCCATAAGATCAGGGTAATACCAACATACTAAAGGAATATTCATCTGATTAGTTTTAGTAGATTTATCTGAAGATTCAGGGACTCCATCCACAGATGTACTTAGTTTTTGCTATAGGAATCTAGAGAGAAACGGTCTTTCAGCAAACCCATGGCCACCAGGTTCACTCCCCAGAGCTTCAGCAAAGCTTTGGGTCCCTTTGGCCTCAGGCACTGCTGTGGCAGGGGCGTGCTGGGGAGCCCCACTCCATTTTCAGTGCTATTTTCTGCCTCTGAACTGATGGTCATCTTAGATCTTAGCCTTCCTCCCATCTTCCCCTCCAACAGCATTGGTTACCCAGGTATTGAGTCAGATGTCTGAGGCAAACAGCAGATTTAGCTGGCCTTCCATGCATAGGAGGGGCTTGCCAAAGACACTAGTCTCTCTCTCCAAATCCTAAACATGAATGCTAACTGAAAAGTAGTGGTTTAATCATTTATTTCAAAGCCATGTGACAGAAAAACACTTCGTTACCTATGTACCTAAGCATGCAAGTTGTCCCCAATGGCTTCAGTGGGAGTCTCTTATGCAGTTAAAACTATACATATGAATTAATCAGGATCTAACAAGCTGATTTGTAATTATGTTTTTTCTAGTGGGAAGATAATATCATACAGCCAGCCACAGCCAAGCTTTATTGCTCCTAAAATTTTAAAAGGAACAGCAAATTTTTCTGCTAATGTAAGTACTCAAAACACAACTGGAGTTCATTTACCCCAAGAGAGAACCTGCTGCATAGTGTCAGTCATTGATTATAGGGCATAACGACAATAATAATGTCCTCACAGTTAGTCATTTTTGTAATTAACAATTATCTCGTCAATGTACAAACTGCTCTTAGCTTCTCCTACAGCTGATAGCTAAAAAATCCTCATCATTAGCAACACTGAACATCTAAATTCTTTGGGACTCTGCCCAGCCTGACGTAGATTACTCATCTGTGATACTCAACCGCAGTCATGCTGTACAGTGACTTTTCTGCTGAATGCTGCACGTGTGAATGTTTCCAAAAATAGATACAGAGCTTACTGGAACTGCTCTA